GTGTGTCCTTTACCTCTCAGGCTGAGCTTATCAGTAAACAGGCTCAGGAGAAGTTTGACTTGAATGGGAACTTGGCCCAGGGGACGGGGCTCAGAGGGCCTCCGGGAGAGCAGCGTAGCTTTGCCTCAGGACTGGTCTACTCCCTGAGTCTGCTGCAGGCCACCCTGCACAAATACGAACAGTAAGCACTGCAGCCTCATCACTAATGCCTCAGAAATCAAATATGGTGTTATAATTAGGGGTGTAAGAAATCATATGGCAATATTTTGTTTTGTGATATTATTAGTATCAATTCTCAAAACACTGTATTGTTTTTTATATTTAAACCTCCCACTGCTAGATAGCATTGTTGTAAACTGTTGGGCGTTACAGGTACTGTAATAAAAACAAATTCAGATCTCACTGTTCTGGTTTGCTTAAAAAAAGCTCTTCAGATTTTATGCATATGGTGGTTTGTTCTTTATACAATGTAGTTTTCCTAAAATAAATTTAATTGAAATAAAATAAAGTAAACGCAATATATTGCCTTCTTACAGTATCACAATATGATACACAATATATGATATAATCATAATCTCGGTATCATGTTGTGTATCGTATCGACAAATTCTTGCCCATACACAGCTCTTATTATTAGAGGATTTTAAAGATTTGCGTCTTGGCTGCTGGCAATAAAAGCAGAATTATTGTTTTATTATATGAAGAAATATTTGATATCTCTAGAAAAATCATAATTTGTTCTTTCCGTCTTCCTTGCTCTGCTTCCAGGGCTCTGAATACTTGCAGCGTGGAGGTTTTCAAGCGCATGGGCACACTCTACTCTGAGATGAGCTTCCATGAGCGCTCTCTGGATTATTTCATCGACCTGCTGCATAAAGATCAGCTAGATGAGACTGTTCAGGTGGAACCTCTTACTAAGGCCATCAAGTACTATCAGGTAACAAAAGAATGTGGTTTTATATGAAACAAGAGTTGTATATCAACACAATCAAACTTATGGATTGACAGTTCTATACATTTTCCTTACATTATATTTATTCAGATCTTCCAATACGCATTTAAAACTAGTATGTGATGGCTTCAAATGAGTCTCTCAGCCTATTGTACGACTACTATCAAACAAATATACAGTATATTTATATGAATCTGAATATAGTCTTTTCATAAAGTTTTGTCCACTGTTTTGTCTTCCAGCAACTGTACAGCGTCCATCTGGCAGATCACACTGAAAACTGCACAGTGCAGCTGGCTGACCACATTAAGGTACTTCAAGCTTTGTTTTTCTTTAGAGTCATTTTCATGTGGTTACTAAGGTAAAAATGTATAAGAAATCTCAACAATTTTTTTTCTTTATCCCTATGAGAAAATATGGTAGTAAAACATAAATGACAGTGTAGTAATAAGAGTTTCCTAACTTCACCAATGCCACCCTCTCGCCTCCAGTTTACCCAGAGTGCCCTGGAATGCATGGGAGTGGAGGTAGCTCGTCTCCGGGCGTTCCTGGGCGCGGGTCAGGAGAGCTCTAGCCTCGCTGTCCTTCTAAAGGACTTGGACACTTCCTGCTCTGATATCAGACAGTTCTGTAAGAAGATCCGCCGTCGCATGCCTGGAACAGATGTAGTTGGAGTACCCGCGGCTCTCAATTTTGGACCACAGGTATAGGATACAGAAACAAACATAATAGAAAACTCCCTTTTTGTCTTACATGTTTATCCTTTGCATGATTTATTGACACACTGTCTGAAGATCATCGACCCACTAACACACACTCAGAAATGATTGATCTGCAGTAAATATTTGATTGACATATTGTGTCTCACTGGCAGGTGTCGGAGACGTTGACGGAGTGCAGGCGCCAGCAGACCCGCGTGGTGGCTGTGCTGCAGGAAGTGGCTGCAGCTGGAGCTCAGATGGTTGCTTCACTGGCAGAACAGGAGGGGCTCAACGCTCTCAAGATGGAGGATATCGCCTGCAAGGCTGTGGAGCAGGTAGTTCAACCATCAATCATGCACCATTCGCCCGATACTCCTTGACCCATTTGTCACTGATTATTTTAGTTTGGAGTCTTTTGTCTGGTTTAAATGGACAATTGATGGTCACAGATGCTCTCACTAGACCTTGGCAAAATGTTATTTGCAAAAATTTCTTGGCATTTGTTGTGAAGTAGTGGTCGGGGATTGTTCTATCAAGCATTGAAATACAATAACTTTGTACACTGAATTAATTAGAAAACACTTTTTAGTTCTGAGTATTGTTGTTTTGGGACAAGTAGGCATAGGTAGTTGATTTTAGGTTGCAGCTGTGTTATTGTATCTAAATCTATATTTATCTAAATCTGCAAACTTGTCCCCAAGGTGTATGGCTCCCATGGCCTGAATGGCCCAGAGTGTCTGCGCCAGTCCTGCAGCTCTGTCATCAGTACCATGAACAAGATGGCCACGGCCATGCAGGAAGGAGAGTATGATGCTGACAAACCACAGGCTATGGTATGTGCGTGCCTCGAACATTCACATTAATGAATCGCATATTTGAGACTGAAATTCAAGCAAATTGGTCTTTTATTCCCTGTTCCAATTCTCACTACTTGATCACTTCCCCCACATCCTCAGACTCCTCCGATTGAGATGAGAGCATCCACCGTGAGGGCCGAGATGACTGACGCTGAGGGTCTCGGAGTTAAACTAGAAGACCGAGAGACGGTCATCAAGGAGCTCAAAAAGTCACTCAAGATAAAGGTGACACACTACATCAAACACTTCCGACAAATCACTTGATCTTTCTCTGCCAAGTGAAGTGTTCTACATAATTCTGCCACTTTGAAATTGAAAGAATCCCAACTGGAATGCCAAACTGAAGGGCCTAATTAATGCATCTGTACCTCCCTCCCCCAGGGCGAGGAGCTGAGTGAGGCCAACGTCCGTCTGAGCCTGCTGGAGAAGAAGCTGGACACGTCCACCAAAGACGCAGATGAACGGGTGGAGAAGATTCAGACCAAACTGGACGAGAACCTCGCCCTGCTGAAGAAGAAAGAAAAGTAAGAATGATAAAGAAGGGAGAATAAGAAATGAACACAAGTTAGATTTTCCGTGCGTTTTTCTCTCTTCTTACTTTTCCTGTTCGCTCACCTTCCTCTCTCCTTATCTTCAGGGAGTTTGAGGAGACGATGGACGCTCTGCAGGCTGATATTGACCAGCTGGAGGCAGAGAAGGCAGAGCTGAAACAACGCATTAACAACCAGTCCAAGTTGACCATTGAAGGCCTGAGAGGCCCGCCTGCTTCTGGAATTGCCTCCATAGTCCAGGGATCCGCAGGAGGTGAGGCAGATAGAAATTGTCATTTTATGTTTCATAAAAGGTGTGATAGCCTCTAATTCAACTTTGTGAAAAGCAGTTTCAACCAGCTGGTAATGAGAGATGTTTTTCCTGTAGTTAGTAATTGTACAATTAATACTAGAAAACATTTAGATATTGGGAATCACAAAAATAGTCTCACAATTTTGGGGAAAAAAGACTCACTGCTGTCACAGGAAAAGCACAGTTGTCATAGTGATTGAACGCCTCTCACCGCTCTCCCTTTCTGTTTCCAGCAGGTCTGCCTCCATCCCTGGCAGGACCAGTACAGGTGGTGGACTCCCCTCTCCTCAGGCAGCAGGTTGAAGCTCAGAGACTGGGCATCAAACACCTTAAGAATGAAAACAACAGACTCAAGGTACACTGGTGTTTGTGTTGTTGTGTTGTGGTATTGTTGTAAACCCTGGTAATACTGACCCTGAGTATATTTTACTCACAGGCAGAGAAGATGAGAGCCCAGCTGGCCTCCCTGCCTCCACTCTGCCCTCCCAAACTACCAAAAGTGTCCAAAGAGAGCTCCATGCCACCAGAGGGACTGAACACAGGCATCTATCGCAGGACTGACCAACTGCTGGCCACCCTGCTCAAGCTGAGTTCAGAGGTGAAAGTGGTGGACGTCACTGGGAAGACAGCAGGTGTGTGTCTCAGTTTCTACACTGTGCGCTCCCATGTGTGCTTATGGTTGTTCTCAGCTGAGTGAACTGGTTGATTTTCTGTGTTTCTTCCAGTTACTGCCAGTGCCCAGCTGCTGGAGCAGACGGCTAGACTGCAGAACCTCAGTGATGCTCTGGATAAACTCAAGGTGACACAACTTCAGAATCATATCAGTTCTCCTTACCGTGACAGTAAGCTGACCGCAATACAAAACCAAACATCTGGACACTTTTCTGTTTCAGGGAGAAGTAGCTGAACATGTAGTCTCATATCAGCCTGGAGCAAAGGCTTCCTCTGACTTCGCCACATTCCCCGTCTCCTCCTTTGTTAAGGTAAAACCCTGCACCAAGTTTCATCTTTTCTTGTCAGAAGATTTCGATACTTGTTCAAGAAATGAAACCGCATGTATATATGTGTCTTTTCCTAGGCCAAGGGAGAGAAGCAGGGTGGTACCGTGTTTGTAGGCCGTGTTGCCATTCCATGCTCCCGCGGACAGGAACAAGTGCACCGCCTCGTCCTGTCGCAGCAGCAGTTGCAGAAAGTGCACCACCTCCTCATGGCCTGAGACCGCATGCCATTGGCCCACAGCCATGATTGACAACACGTCAAGAAAAGCTTTTCCTTATTTTCATTCCAGCTTCCATTTAAACGTTCTCCTTTATTTATCCCTTTTGCTTTTCACTACTCTCAGGAACTTGTATCCAATATTTGCATTCAATATTATAGCACTAACAAAACTAAGGCACAGTCGTTTCTTTATATTGACAAAACTGATGTGTGACTGTTCCATAACAGAGTCCAAATGGATTTGACTCCTTTATGTCACTTTATGGGGTAGTGTTTTCATCACTGAAACACTTTGTATGTAACAGTTTTACCAACACTTTGTGGAAAAGGGGAATGCTAGCAAGTCATTTTTACTGTACTTCCACAATTAAAGTCCCCACCCCCCTTTGTATCTTTTGTATTTGTTGTCAGACAATAAAAGCAATTCACTTCAGAGCAAAAAAATATCTTTATTAAATGTGTCATGTCAAACTTACAAGTGTTCATGAAGAGTTTAGGGCACCAGTGTCTACAAATTGTAATCCTGTTTTAATCTCAGCACTATTAACACATTTCAGTTAATGGCTTTAAAGCCAAAGCTGGTATTATGCTTGAGTGAATACGTTATTAAAATGAAGCAGGATTACATTGTTACTGGCAAGGCAGACAGGTCCAAAGCGGTTTCTCTACCACTTCTGACTGCATAAATCAGATAGAAAAATCACTCTGAACATTGATGTGTTTAAGGCCTAAAGGAAACAAAATCTTTATCCCATACTTGTCATTAAGAGACATCAGAGGGATCATTAATTTAGAACTTTGAGTGATTGATTTTAAAATAAGTCAAAAACAGTCCCATTTAAATGTTTTGAATTAGAACACAGCACCTGACATTTGAAGTGTAGAATTAAAAGTTCTCTGAAATGAAAAATATATTTAAAATCTATTATTGGTGCAAAAAAAAAAAAGAGTAATTAACTAATTTACAATATAAGAAAAAGGACCAATATATGTGTATGTCTAAGGCAATTCGCTGAATTCAATCAAATCTGAGTGAACTAAAGTAAGCAGTTTGGGGATTAACGCCTCCTCCTTAGAACACAGAGGACCATAATGTACTGCAGGTGAAGCAAGAGACTGGCGTAGATAACAGTTCACCATGTCTGAATGTCGTGATGCACCCTGCCTCAGTAGTAGTGGCCGTGACGGGAGTACTGACTGTGTCTGTGATGGGTGTACGGAGCATAGTGGTGTCTGGTGTGTCGGCTCCTCATCACATGCTGATGATGGTGCTCATGGTAGGGCTCAAAGTGGTGTGGAGTCCTGTAGTTGAAACCTGCAGACCACACAGGGAATGTCAATGGGCTGCTCAAAGACATTTTCAATAAGTAGATCAGAGAACACACAGATACTCTAATCTCTCCAATCTGTTCAGCTCAGTACACTTACCATTTCTAAACTGTCCATGTTCATATGGATGTCTGTGAACTGGTAGGTAAGGCAGTGTTGGGAGGGCGGGTCTGTGAGCTCCAGCAGCCTTACGGTGACATGCCTGTGGCCAAGGGTCGTTCTTCTCGAAGTTCAAGTAGCCTAAAGTGAAGGAATCGCTGAAGAACTCCTCTCTGTTGCTGTTGTAAGTTTCCTTTGATGAGTGGCCTTTCACAGAGTAACAGAGACAATAGAGGGATGATGATGGACATCCAAGTATATAATTTAACAGGTGGCAAATCCAAGAACATGTCTGAATGTACAGGGCCTTTATTTTAGAAGGTCACACGGTTATTGTGTTTTATTTCACCCATATTTGCTTGCCCTTTGTTAATGCATCAACAGAAATAATGCTAATCAACACACTGTCGTCATCTGCTGTCTTACCTGCAGGTTTGATTCCATGCTGCTGTTCAGTAAACTCTGTTTGCTCTAAAAAATGCTGCTATCCATTTGTCTGGTAAATCCCCCGCCGCGAGATTGGACGTAATTGCCTGGCTTGTACCACTTATAGCGTTCCAGATTGTCTTTGGGCATTACGAGGCAGAATGAAGTGCAGCAGCTGTGTTGTTATTGTTTTGGGTTTTTTGAAAATAATGTGAAATAATATGTTATTCTACAGAAGCAATTTAGTAATTCCGTTAATGCAAGTCTTACATTTCAATAATATTTTGCCATTTTCGCCTATTTCAATTTCAACAAGTGCTGTGGCGTTTGTCTCCAGCCACCAGGGGCAGTGGCAGGCTAGTGTTATTGTTAGCTACATTAGCCTATTTAGCAAACCAGCTCCAAAACAAAACTTTACATTGTATTGCATGTACAACATCGTGCAATGCATACATTGGTGACCGAACTAAAGCAGCAATGTAAACAAGTGTGTAGGAGCATTTAAAAATCGACATTAAAACGACCAACGTAGTACAAATACGTTCGTCCTCGTTTAGCTCGGTGTACTGTGAGGTACCCCGAGCTGGACGGCTGAAGTTCCGACCAAAAGGGGGTGTGTCTCGTGAAATGTCACAAGATAGCTGCGAGATTTACACTTTCCAACTCGGGCGGTCGGTTTCCGAGACAAATGGATAGCACCAAAAGAACAAAATGTCAATCTAATTCAAACAAAGGCCATTAGTGCAGTAAGCCTAAATAATAAGTCCCATCTTACAGTGGGGCTTTATAATTTACTCCTGTGTGTGGTTGTGTGTCGTCTTCCTCACCAACAGTAGTCAATGGAGAGGGCATGACGACACCCCAGGCCTGAGCACTGTGCTGCAACAGCAGAGAGGTTATCCTGCGGTGGGCGAGAGCGTTCCAGTGGACTCCATCCTTGGTGCGGTGTTGCAGGAAGAAGCGGAACTGGTAATGGAGGTCCAACACATCCATCCCGTAGGCGTCAGCCAGAGTCCCACTATAGAAATTAGCCTCAATCACATCCTGACGCAGCTGAGAGGCCCTGTGTTCAATCTGAGGTGAAAGAGGGAGGGAGAACAAACACAAAGTGTTGAACATAATATATATATTTTGGATACAAAATACACATTACTATGGTCTTTAAGATGTTCTTAATTTCTAGGGATGCAACCCACCTACTAAGTGGCTAAATTAAACTCCACAGGCACAAATGACACAAATCTCCTGTTGCCTGTATGTTGTGAACACAGTAAACTCTCAGTATGAATGACTCAGTCAAGAAATCTAACAACCACCTCACGTTATAAGGAGTTCGGTCTAGACCTGCTCCATTTGAAAAGTGTCCTGAGATAACTCCTGTTATGAATTGGCGCTATACAAATAAAATTGAACTAATGGTTAAAACTATAAACCAGCACAAATGACAATTACCAACATAAACCACCATGTTCTGAACCGACACATTAAAAGCAATAACAATAAGTAACATTAGCATTGTGGAAAATAAAAACTACACAGCCAGCACTCAGACAGGAGATGATGGGAAAAGTGGTCCGTTGCTGGGATTACAAGCCAGCACTGGCTCTAGCACACTCTGCTCCACACACGTTGCAAAATGTGAATAAATATATTTATTATTTAGGGATGCACAATAATTAAGGCAGATAAATTATTGGCCAATAATGAGAAATGTATAATTATAGATTATCCCCATAATTAAATTCAGCTGCTAAATTATTGGTTGACATTAATCATTTATTATGAATTCTTATGCAAAGTGTGATAGGCACAGCAGCATAGATTAAAAAAAACAAATCAATAAAATAAAGTGTGTGTCTGTGCCAGGTGCAGCACAATATCACAGCATCATGTTCTGTTTAACATCATTATCTTACCTTCAAACTCACAATCCAAATCATAGTCAGTGACTCGTATAGAGCATAGAGTCAGGTTTTGGTGAGCAGGCATATAGAGAAGGGGGATGTGAGGTGTCCGTGGAAAAGAAATGCAAACTGGTTTGTCATTAAGGACTTGCCTTTAAATGCAGAGATTTTTATAAACATCCACAGAAAGGCCAATTAAAATTGCCTTAATATTAGCACAGGAAAACCAAACGTCAATCACCCCTTCAATTGTCAGGATGAGATCCGACTGTCAGTGAAAGAGGGGATATTCCAATTTCCCCAACAAGACCAGATTTCCATGTCTGGTTGTGATGCGGATGGTTGGCGACGACGTACCTCTGGGACCAGGAAACCACCTTTGATCCTCTCGCCTAAGGGCATGGTGAGGTTCCATACAACCAGGGCTTCCTCCGGAAGAACGCCACGTAGTTCTTTAAAGAATTTATGCAGATTCTCCTTGTAGTCATCAATCCAACTGGAAAGGTATCTACAAACCCAACACAAACACAGACAAACCGATGAAGAACACATTCACTACGCACAAACTAATCAAACTGGGGCTCAAAAGGACGGGATTGCAGGATTTAGAAACATCTAGTGGTGAAGTTGCAGATTGCAATTAACTGAATACAGCTCAGCCTTCCAAGCGGGTAGGAGAAACTACAGTGGCCGTGAAACCTCCAAAAATGCCAAAGGCCCTATTCAGAGCCGGTGTTTCAGTGAGCCCTTACACCAGGGAACACGTTAGGCAAACAGCTTCAGTTCATTGTGCTTCAGGCAAACCTGATACATTCAAGCTGAACAGGGCTTTGTCCTCTGCTACTGCTGTGTGTGTGTATCACTCACACACACACACACACACACACACACACACACACACTCACACACACACACACACACACACACACACACACACACATCACTTAAATGAGGGTGTGACTGTGGAAAAGTACAGCTGTTTGGAGCAGGATATCACCTGTTATAAGATTGTAAAGAACTGTTCCCGGCTACCCACACCTACCTCACCCTCACTGTTAGATCTAGAGGTGGGGATGAGGGAGAAAAGAATAAATTAGACTTCAACCACACCTTTTTGCCAAATCCAAAACACACCTCCAACTAGGTGTAGACAACTAACAATTTTAGATCAAGATTGTGATCCAAGGCATCCACAATTTGCTTTTTCAGGTACTGAATTAATTCTGTTTCCAAACTTAACCTAACCACACTGACTAACAGATTTGCTCTACGTGAACAAACCCAGTCATGAGTGATGTATCCAACTCAATCTTTAGACAATTGACAAATTGCTCTTCCTTGGGTGACGTATTGTAAACAATTGAGTTGTGAGTACTTGAAAAAAACTTGGAAAGTGTAATTTTATGATTATGTTATACAACTTCAAATTAAACTCAGGTTTTACTCGACACTTTGAAACCTGTGCAGTATCTTTAATGCACTATTGTGTTTTAATGGTGCAAATGGAGTAGTTTATAGGCCATTTCAAACCTGGCTATGGTCTACAGGGCATTACAAAATGATTGTGATTAAATACATCAAAATGTTTTTTTTTTTTTTTTTAAATCCACATCACCCACAGCTAACAAAGTCAAGTGCAGTCTTGTATGAAGGGACGGGTGTTAGCTGGTTGAACCAAATCACGTTTGATTAAATAAACTAATGCACACACACACACCTTCAAAAATAACATCTTACAGGACCCACCTTGAAATATCCCAAACGCAGGAGTTGATAATGACTACATCTGGTTTCAAGCCTTGGCGGAAGTCTTCGAGGATGCTCTCCATGTAGCGAGAGTAAATGCGTGTGACGAAGTAAAAGCGGACCAGATGGTGGGCGGACTGAAACTGTCGAACCTCCTGGTACTGCGTGCCATTGTGCATACCGCTCAGGCAACCTCCTTCCACCAGGCAGTCCTGTTCAAAGCTCATCTCACCCTGGAGGAGAGAGCGAGTTAACACAGGGATGTGAAGACAGACTGCAGATACAGATGTTTACAGACTGTATAAAACATCACTTACCTTGCTCTTGAGCTGTTTTAAAGAGAGATATTTCTCCTTCTGTAACAGCAGAACCAGGTCCTTGTATACAGACCTCTGGACTGAGGACGAGACACAGAGAGCATTAAAAGTGGATCACAACTCAGTGACCAGATACAGTCTGTATGTAAAACTACAGCGAGGACTCACTTGAGTCTCCGAGCACCACAATGAACTTGTTGTGGAGCAGCTGGCTGGCCTGCTGGTGGCTGACAGGCTTCGTTGTCTCCTTCTGTTAATTAGAAGTCAAACATTTATGTTGTTTTATTAAAAGTACTGTGGAAATGAGGTCCATTTGCTTCGTTTTGAGGAAGCAGCACAAGGCCAAGTTTCTTAGCCACAATTAGTAATGGCGGCTAAGATATTCTGACAACCAATTAGCAGACTAATAAACTAGCCTTAAGCTAATTTGGTTTTAACATTGACCTAAATGAACGTGAGGTAATACACACTTACCATTGTTGAACAGGAACAACTTGTAGAACAATTTAAAATCCGGAGCTAAGCTACCCGTTTAAAAAATATCTTGTTGTTGGCACGTTGTGTTTTCTTTCCAAATCTAGCTCAAGTTAGCTAACTTTATCTGGAGCCTTTAGTTTCAGGACTCAAACCCGCGGCGGCCTCTGCAACCTGCCACTGGCTCCACTGTTAAACTTGTCTGACCGCTCGTATATCTTATTAAAACTGTGCCTTCCACATTAAGGTTTGCTCTGCCGTTGTGAGGATGCAGGTGTTTCTAATTGTATGATGCTTTTAATGCCTGTCGGAAAAATGACGATTTTCGGGCAAATTTTGAATCACAGTCTCGCGAGACCACAAAACAAATTGAGATGTGGTTTGATTACCTTAGTAAGGATCAAAGTAGAAATTCATACATTTTAAAAGAGAAATTATAAATGTAATAGTTGAGCTTTCCTTAAAATTGTGCAGTAAAAATACAAATTAAATGTCCTTAATCGTAATCTTAAGTCTTTTAAATGTATCTACTTGTGCACACTACTGCATTGTGAACCCTGCTGCCACCAAAGTTACCAGCAGTAATGATGGTCATCAGTTTTACACCACTCTTTTTATTCTATTCATCTATTGGAACAAATACCGATACTGCTCAATTTTAGGATATAATTATGATTTTAATTGTATGACTTTTTGAAGAATACAAAATGTAACAGAGATAGCTCTTTGTGTGTGTTTGGTGGAGAAATAAGTAACACCTAATGTGTCTGTCAATCAGAAACATAATAAAGATGGACTGGATAAACTTTAAAAAAATTGTTTTAATTAAAATCCATAAACAAACTTCAAAGCACAGCCTCAAATGTCTTTTAAAAAAAAAAATCTTTATTTCATTGCTTTTGGAAATGTTGAAGAAGAGGTTACAAACAACATTAGAACAGGTTCACACAGAAAACCAACCATCTGATCATCTAATTGCACTCAGTAAAAGTCACTGTCTTCATCACCATAATCTACCACTGGCATCTGATCTTTTTTCTCCTCTTCCTCTTGCTCCTCTTCTTCCTTCTCCTTTTCCTCGCCCTCTTCCTCCTCTTTCTCCTCCTCCTCCTCCTCCTTGTCTTCTTCTTCATCTGTCTCGTCTTCTTCCTTGGTCTCGCTTTTCTGGTGAAACTCTTGGTATATCCCAGTCAGAGCTTTCGCTGCTTCCAGAGACACTTTCAGATTTCCAATCACTTCCTTGTCTTCATCCACACTAACAACTGGAGGAAACAGAGACACGGGATCAGACAGACTGTAAGAAAACTGTTCACACTTTATCCCAGAAAGGGTATAAAAGCATCCTCCTCTGCCTGAAACTGAAGGAGGACAATTACAAATATACATAACATTGTACAAAATCTGAACCTAAATCTGTTTCTAAAAAAACACCTACTGTCAATTTGTTGGTCAATGACATCATTTCCAGAGAGAAGCAGTTCCTGTAGGTCCAGAAAAGCATGTCCGACGTCCACACACTCCTCGTCATCGTCCATTGGCTCGCTGACTACTGTGAACTTTAACCTTCAGCCATGACACACAGACATGCCTCACTTAAATTTTGTGGTTTGGGACAAGACACATCCATAAAGTGACACAAACATTTACTGTGTAAAAAGACAACACTGATGACACTACCTGCCCTGGTTGGGGTCACTGCCCTCCAACATGGTGTAAAGATACTGCCTGAGTGGAGCTGACTGAGAACCATCCACATAAATCACTGAGAGAGACAAACACAGAGATTTGGGGTTTGTAAAGGAGTTTTGGGATGAAAACAAACATACACAAATCTCACTCACTCTCACCTCGGGTGAAGTTGTAGTGAATCTCCTCCCCCTTTTTGGGTTTGCGGAGGGACATGGGTGTTTCTGTGGTCTCCATCGGGACGCCCAGCAGCCGATATTCCACATAAACACGCTGCACTGACTTGTCTAGCGCTACGTGTGAGGACGGTTCAAACGTCAGGGACAGAATCTCCACTCTCAGCTTGTCTCCCTGAAACACAGTGAAATTCAGTCCGGTTCATAAACCTTTACTGAAGCAGATGAAACACTGATGCTAAAATCTTTCCCTTTTTTCTCTTTCATTCAGATGTTTTTTTCTCACAGTTCATACCTTCCTCATTTTTCGTTTGGGTGGAATGACGATAATGTCGCTCTGTGAGGAACTTGACTCTGAAGACTCTGGGGCTTCACTGTCTGGTGCTGCAGCTGTATGATGTACAAAATAACATGAACATGATTTATTTCATTTTAAATTCAACTGGTTGAACTGAAAATTAGAGGAAAGGTTTAGAGGTCAAATAGGTTATCTTACAATAATTTTTTGTATATTTAAACAATGGCAGAGTGAGGCTTCAAGTTACTGAAAGTAAGTAATTCAAAGCAGGTGTTTAGGCCTATTGTGTGCACATGAATAGTTACCACTCTCACTCCTCTCCTCTTCCTCCTCCTCCTCCTCTTCATCCATAGACACCTGATCCATGGAGGGAAGGTCCTAAGAAGAAGAAATGACATATGAGCCCGTTCACCAGCCAGTCCTCAATTGGTTATAATTCTAATTAAGTCTTGTTTGTGTGAGCTCCTACCTGAGTCTTAGCATCGCTGGCAGAGCTTTTCCTCGACAGCGTGGCGGCTGATTGTCTGGAAGACGTTCTCTCTGATAATCTTAAATAAGATGACATGTTTTTTCAAATATATTTTCATTATTTTATCTTAAAAATATTTTAAGTAGAAGTGAAAATTACAACCATGGACAGGTGGAATAACACATGCATCCTAAATGTTTAGAACTTTATCAAGCTTTTCAAAAAGAAAAACAAATGTGCAACGTACTTCCTTGTTGACAAACGAGAGGGCGTCAGTCTCGGCTCAGGGGTCAGTTTGGGTGTGCGCTGGTAAAGCTCAGGTGACCTCTTGGTGGATCTCTTCCTGTCTACAGACTGGCGAGTGGCCACAGAGGTGGGTTGCTCTGGTCGCATGTTCTGTGAGCTTTTCTGTTTGACAGGTGGAGGCTGAGGCTGTAAACAGACAAATATACTAGTAAACAAAAGAGTTTATACTTGGTTCATCATTAAAATGCAGACATCAGCTACTTTTGTGGGCGCTTAAAACCTTACCCAAGCTTTCATCCCTTTCTGCACTGCTTTGGTTTCTCTTGGCTCAAGTAGCTGAGTCTGTGGTAAAGATGCAAAGATTAGGTATTAAGATAGGAAACAGGAAGTGTCTTTGAACACATCCAACATTTTAGTCCTGTAACATGATGCTAACTAACATGATGCTGGATACACTCTTGTTAATATCACCTTTACTCTGGGCTTGGCTATGGGTCTCTGTGACACTTCAGCCTCCTCTCTCCTCCTCTCCTCCCTCTCAGTGCTTTCCATTGCTCTGTCCTGTCTACCCACCACGGCGTCCACTGATGGCTGGAAGGGGTACTTCCATTTCATCATGACTCTGACCATGCCCCGAGGTCCACCAGCTGGATCTCTCAGAACATAGTCACCTGACAGGGCAGAGAGAGAACAACTGCTGATTGGGTACTAATTTTGTACAACCTTTGAGTTTGTGAAAATAAAAATAACCTGTTGGCTTTCACCTCCATCTAAAAGAATGTTTCTTCTTGTAAGGGATGCAGATGAATAATGTTTGCTGTTTTACTTTTCTCTCTCCCTCACCTCTGATCTCTCTGCCTGTAGCCAGGGCTCGCAGCGGGATGGGGGTCTTGGCCAGATAGGCTGGTGGGATCTGGTCATCGCTGTCATCAAACACATACACCCATAAACTGCTGGACCTGGGTCAGAGAGGGGGTTAATGTTGTAAGGATACACATATATTTGGTCAGAGACTTTGTAATGTAAAAAGGTTGACTGTCATACCTAAGGTAATGCAACACATCAGCTGTTACTGCCAGTGGGTATTTCGTGGTGTCATTGAACACCGGGTCAGCGGTGCACTGGACTGTTTGAGAGACGTGAGGTGGCAGGTCATAGAACCTGTATGTCAGGTAGGCGTCAGGAAGAAGTCCAGGCCAGCGAGCACTGAGGCCTACACAGTGTTCCAACATAACCACCAACTCATTTGGGATCCCCCCACCGTAGTCATGCAACTCCTGTTAGAAAATATGTAAATATTTGGGTGAACAGAACCTTCAATGATAGTCATATTAATAACAAGTCTTTTTTCTTTACGTACAGTATGTTGTATGTATGTATTGTATTATAAGCTGACAGACTGTCAGTAAATCACTCTCTTTTACCTCATGACCAGTATCTTGCCAGCCAAGAGGAATGTGCACAGGACTCCTCTGTATGGCTGTTCTCCTGTCAGCTCCTCTCTCTACCACAGTGTCTACGGGCTCTGCGGGATTGAACAGGCGCACCCAGAAATCCACGACACCAACAACTTCACCCTCAGAGCCTTGGAGAGAGAAAGGCAGATTTTTAGACACTGATTCTTGTCTTATTACTGCAGATGAACACACAATGCATTATGTAATAATGTAAGAACATTACAGCACAATACTTATTCTGTGTGCATGAAAAAAAGCATAAAATCCAGTATATTGCTTTTTATTTATAAATGACTCACCTGTGATATTGACATGTCCACCCATGCGTTCCCCTCTCCTTTCCATGGCGCCCATCAGGGACATCTGCCCATTTCCATGTGTAACAAACTTGACCCCTCCTAACGCTTGGTGGAGCTCCACTCTGACTCTTGACCCCTGACCTCCCAGCCTGCCCAGATCTCGGGCTGTTAGAGCGTAGCGGGATGTGAAGCTGTAGCTGGGTTGGCTGCCTGATATCAGAGGAGTGGAGTGCACCTCAAAGTCCAGGAGGCTGTAGGTGCAGAAGGTCACAATGTCTTCACGTCCATCCATTCCTGGACGGATGCTGCCCATAGTACGAAGCCCTGCTGGGGTGAAGGTGGCAGCCTGCAGAAACGAAAACATTTTTAAGCTTCATGGGAAATATGCAAATGATTTGGAATGAAAAAAAGATCAGGTACAACCTTAAGGCACAGTGTTTTTGTACCTTAAGGTGGATCTCCAACAGTGACTCCCCAGCCCTCAGCTGAGAATAAGGCATGTCATCTTCAATAGGCTGTACCACCTCCTGGTCTCCACCTGGCCAGGTGTACTGTATTGGTATGGTCCGTTTGTAGTTCCTGGGGCTGTATGCTAACTCTTTCAACTGAGCTGT